GAGGCAGAGAAGAGCGGGGCGGTGGGGGGGCTCTCACCCAGGCCGAGCTCCCTCCGTCTCCCCTTCCTCCTCCTTTCTCGGCGCCTGCGCGGGGGTATTCAAACCAAAGACGATTTTCCTGCGGAGGGGAGAGGAGGGCTGGGCTTGGCCCTAGACGGACCCCAGCTCCTCCCAGTGGGGGACCCTCACACACCCGCCCTCCTTCCTCCCACAGAGGTCGGGGAGGGGGGTGGGACGACCAAATGGGCAGGGAGCCAGCCGCCCCCCCCCCAACTCCCTGGTGCCAACCCCTGTCCCTTCAGAGCTAGCTCGTTCTCTTCCTGGATGGAGAACAGGGCTCCTTCTCTTAGATCCCCAGGGTCCTGGCCCAAAGCTGGGGCGAACAAAGAAAAGAAGGTTCCACAAGACTTGGTTGCCTGGAAGCAGGGGTGGAAACTGGATTAAGGGCTATTTTTCCTGCTAACCGCCCCCCCTCGACCAGCCCCACCAAGGGCTTGGCAACACACACACACACACACACACACACACACACCAATGGACTCCATGGTTCCCTTTCACCTGTTCTGGAACCTGCAGGGTCCAGGAATTTGTGTCTGTGGATGGATGGGTGGGAGGAGACTTAGTGGATGCCTCCCACAAAGCTGAGTAAAGCCAGGGCTGTTCCCAAGCCGGCTTCCTGCAGGAAGGGACTTGGAGCAAAATGGACAGGAGCATGTTCTTTGGAGAGGGCTTTTGATCTAGGACAGCATTTCCTGAGTGGTCTCCTGCCTTGTTTTCCCTCTCCAGCGGAGGTGGGTGATTGGAACAGGCCTAGGGTGTTCTGACCCTTCAACCCCTGCGCCATGGCCACACTGAGCGTCAAGCCCAGTCAACGCTTCCGGTTGCCAGACTGGAACACCAACAGCTACCTGCTGTCCACCAACGCCAAGCGGCAGCGAGATGCTTCCCACCAGATCCGCCAGGAAGCCCAGGTCCTCCGCAATGAGACCAACAACCAGGTTGGAGGCCAGAGCCTCGTTGGGTGGGCAGAGGAAGAGCCCCAACCCCACACCCTCTTTATCTGGCTTTGTCTCTTCCAGACCATTTGGGATGAACATGACAATAGGACTCGACTGGCAGAGAGGATCGATACTGTGAACCGTTGGAAGGAGATGCTGGACAAGTGTCTGACAGATTTAGATGCTGAGATTGACGCCCTAATCCAGGCAGGGAGCCAGGACAGGGTGCCAGGAGACCCTGCAGCCAGGACCTCCCCAACCTCCCCACTTCAGGGTCAGCGCACCCTTGATGGGGGTATTGGGTGGCATGTCCACCTGAGTCACTCACTGCCCTTCCACTAAAGTGGGGATGAGAGCTGCTTCCCAGCGAAGGCCCCACTAGTGTCCCATGCCCTCTCTTTTCTAGATGAAGGAGTCGGCAGAGCAAAACCTGCAGGCCAAGAACCTGCCTCTGGATGTAGCAATCGAGTGCCTGACCTTGAGGGACAGTCGGCGCGACATTGATGTGGTGAAGGATCCTGTGGAGGAAGAGCTGCACAAAGAGGTGGAGGTCATTGATGCCACCAAGAAGGCCTTGCAACAAAAGATTAGCCAGGCCTTTGAGAAGCTTTGGTAAGGGAGCATCTAGCATTCCCATGTTCACCTGCACTTGAGGCCTGCATGTCTTTTTTTTTTTTTTTTAAGATTTTATTTATTTATTTGAAAGAGAGAGAGCACAGAGGGAGAGGGAGGAGCAGACTCCCCGCGGAGCAGAGAGCCCGATGTAGGGCTCGATCCCAGAACCCTGGGATCATGACCTGAGCCGAAGGCAGACGCTTAACCGACTGAGCCACCTAGGCGCCCCTATTTTTTTTTTTAAGATTTTTAAATCTATTTATTTGAGAGAGAAAGAGAGAGAGCAGGGGGAGGAGCAGAGGGAGAGGGAAAAGCAGACTCCGTGCTGAGCACAAAGCCTGACACGGGGCTCGATCCCACGACCCTGAGATCACGACCTGAGTCGAAATCAAGAGTCGGATTCTTAGCCGATGGAGCCACCCAGGGGCCCCAAGGCTGCATGTCTTACATGTGAAACGTGTTGTGGGTACTGAGCAGCTGGCTCTCAGGCTGCCTTCTGACCCTGCGGTGCCCACCGCAGAAACCACTAACTGACTGTAGCTCTTTGCCCACCGCCTGGACACGGTCTCAGAACACTTCCCACCACCCTGCTTTAGGCAGCCGTTATCAGTTGATTGGAAGCACGAGACATGAAGCCCATTTGCCACCACCCCAGAGTACCTTCTCGCGAGTGTGTATGTGTGAGCCTCAGTGAGTGTAGCTACATCCAGGTGCCCCCGCGGACACGTGCAAGCCGGCGGGGGCCCCCATTTTGTCTTCAGGGCGCTCCTCCAGCTCTGCCGGTCTTTGTCTCTGCTGCTGCAGCAGCTCCACGGTCACCCCAGCTGGCCCAGCCCTCAGCGTCCCTTCCGGACCACGATCCTGATCAAGTCTGTTCCCTCCCCAGCCTCCTGCAGGAGGTCCGACAGCAGCTCAGCTCTGACCATCGGGACAAAATGGAGACACTGGACATCGACAGAGGCTGCCTCTCTCTCAACCTCAAGTCCCCAAACATCTCTCTGAAGGCTAATCCCATGCGTGTCCCCAGCGGGTAAGAAGTGTTTCACTCCGTTTCTCCTCCCCACCTCACAGCCCACACTCTTCTGAGCCCGGTGTTTCCTGCCCCTCGCAGCTCCTCCACCCTCCAGCAGTGGGACGACTTCAGCCAGTTCAACAAGAACCTGGCAGAGACCGAGATGAAAGCCGCCGTAGAGCTGAGGGAGGCCATGGCCCTAACTATTGCCGAGGTGACTGACCCCTCCCACACCCTGCTCTTCCACGGCCGGCTGGTGGCCCGAGGGTTCCCTGTTGGCCATGTGGCATCACCCCCCCTCAACTTGCGCGATTTCCTCAGATGGCCACGAGCTTATGCCTCCCCTTGCCCTGCCTCCCCTGTCCTTCAGACCAACAATGAGCTCGAAGCCCAGAGGGTGGCCACAGACTTTGCCTTCAGGAAGCGGCTGCGGGAGATGGAGAAAGTGTACAGTGAGCTCAGGTGGCAGGAGAAGAATGTGAGCCTTCTCTGCGTAGTCCCTGGGGCCCGGGGCTCCTCCTGTGGGATGAGAGCCCCCAGGAAGCCCCAGACTGGGTGCCCCACAGCGGGTTCGGCTGGTGGAGACCAGTCACTCTGTCCCTGCAGACCTTGGAGGAGATCGCTGAGCTGCAGGAGGGCATCCGGCACCTGGAGGAGGATCTGCGCAGAAAGTTACAGAACCTGAAGCTGTGCCATACCCGGCTAGAATCCAGAACTTACCGGCCCAATGTGGAACTCTGCCGGGACCAGGTGCGAGGGTACCCCTGTGGGGCATGGGCCCCCCACTCAGGCTTCCTCAGGATCACGCCCCAGCACTTGTTCCTGGCGGAGCAGGGGTGCTGATGGAGGGCAGGATCCAAGCCCATAGGCTGACCTGGGCCTCCCAACCCACCCTTCTGCCTCTAGGCACAGTATGGCCTCACTGATGAGGTTCACCAATTAGAGGCAACCATCGCTGCCCTGAAGCAGAAGCTGGCCCAGGCACAGTACGTTTGGGGAGTGGGCAGGAGGCGACGGGAGACACCTGCCACCCATGGGGCCTTTTGCTGCCTGCTGGCTTCTCTGATGTCTTCCTAACTGAAGGCCAGTGAGCTCAGCCCTGACCTCCCGGCGTCGGGCAGGGGTGACGGGTTGTTCATGCCTCCTCCCCAGGGATGCTCTGGATGCTCTCCACAAGCACCTGGCCCGGCTGCAGGCTGACATTGACTGCAAGGCCAACTCCATGCTGTTGGACGCCAAGTGCATGGACACGCGCAGGAAGCTGACTGTGCCTGCGGAGAAGTTTGTGCCCCAGGTGGACACCTTCACCCGCACCACAAACCGCACCCTGAGTCCACTCAAAAGCTGCCAGCTGCAGCTGGTCTAGTCTTGGGGGGCTGAGGGATGAGGGAAAGGTCAGATGGGAGATGGAAGAGGGTGGGGGGTGGAGAGAATGAATCTAATAAACGTGGTTCTCAGTCCAAACGGCTTTCTGCTCTCCCTGCATATAGCCAGCAGGGAGTGACAGGGCTCTTGGTTTCCTGTGTATGGAGGAGCAAAGTTGGGGAACATCATCCCTCAAGCTCCATGTTCTAAATCTGATTCCTTCCCTCCTCCCTCCTCAGGGAACCCCTCTCTGGGCTAGGCCAGCATCTGCCCGGCTCTAGCAGCGTGACCTCTCACCAGCTCTGCCCAGCTGGACCCTTGCCTGCCCTCTTGATGCCTAGGGGAGGCCCGGGGGAAGCAGACGCGGCTAGGATCACAGTGGGAGGGCTTGGGGGTGGGGGCCCAAGCCTGAGGGAGCCAAGGGCTGGGGCAGCCATGGGAGGGCGGGAGGGCGGAGGTTGCTGGGGCCCAGAGCAAGGCTTGCTAAATGCAGGCCACAGGGAGTGGGGGGTGGGGGGGAACGGAGACAGTGACCTGAAGGGCAGGGCTACCAGGGTCCGATGGTCTGGCTCGGGCCCTCCTCTCACCTCGGGGACCCTTCAGTGGCCATCCCGCCCGTCTGTGAGCCGCTTACAGGTGGGGAGAATGGGGCTAAAAGCAGGGGCCTGGCCCACGCCAGTGCTGCAGGACGCGGGAGCTGCGGCTCCGGGCCGCTGGGCGGCGCTGTGGGCGCAGAGAGGCACCGAGGCTCCGGGCCGCTGGGCGGCGCTGTGGGGCCGGCGG